TATTTATTTATTGAAAATTAATTTATATAATATTTTTATTTTTAAATCAGTAATTGTTTAAAAAAAAATTTTTTTATATAACTAATATGTGTAAACAAATAAAAAATATTTTATATTATTTTAAATAAAGCTATAATTAGATTAATGCACTTTTGGACTCTACTGTATATATTTATGAATAAAAATATAGATATATTATTTATAATATTAAAATATATRTAATTTTTTATTTAGCTAATAAATTAAATTATCTTTTGATAAAATTGATAATAATAATTTAATGTATCAATTTAAATAAATGTATTATATATATATATAATCAAATACATTTATATATAAAAAAAAATATTAGTAATAAAATTAATTAATTAATTAAGATATAAAAATAATAGACTAAACACTAGATTTTTGTTTACAATAAAAAATATTATAATTATAATTTATTTTACAATTTTTTGATCTTAAATTGATTTTTTTAGCTAAATTACTTTTTAAAACCTATATAATTTTTAATTTTATTATCAATTTTTTTATTATATTTATCACATTTATTTAATCAAATTTTTTATATTAAAMAAAATAWTATTTGATAATTATTATTTTTTGTTATTCATCTAGTTGAAATCAAGTTTATTTTATAAGTACTAATAGTAGTAATAATAATAACTATAATTATGATTATTTTATAAATATTTTTTTTTTTTATTAGTAAATGATAATTATATATATATATATATATATATTATTACAAAATTTCAACAATTTGTTGACCAATTTTTTTTTTATTAAATCAAAGATAAAAAAAATTTTTAAAAAATAAATCTTTATATCTATTTATTTTTATCTACTAATAAACTCTTAATTAATAAAAAAAAATAAGTTTCTACACGTGTTTACTAAATAATAAAAATCAAAAATATCTTATTTAATTAATTAATAAAAAAAATTATATCAATAGTAATCTTATTAAGAAAAATAATTAACTAAATTATTAAATTAAAATTGATAACAAAAAAATTATAATTTATAACTTGGTGAATTTATAAAATAGTTTAGATAATATATATTATCAAATAATTATTTATTATTTTTTGATAAATATTTTGTTGTATTGATAAAAGTTATGTCAAACTAGTAGTAAAGTACAGTACAATAATTGTTATTCAATTTTTTTTGTTATCAATTATTGTTATAAAAAAGTAATATTAATTAATTAATTTTATTTTATTTTTTTTGAAAATAATATTTCAAATAATAATAATCAATTATATTTAGTACATTATATATTATTGAGTGTATCGATAAAAAAATAAATAGTGTAAACATTAAGTGTTTAATTATTATTAAATTTATAATAATCAAAATTAATTATGTAATCAAAATTATAAAAAAATTTATAATATAATTGATTTTTTGAGTTTTTTTTAAATTATTTTGTTGTAGTTTATTAAATAGCAACTAATGATATTATAAACTAATAAATTGATTATTTAAAAATTTTTTTATTAAAATAAAATTAATGAATAATTAAAAAAATCATTAAATATTTTAATTTATTAAATTTCATATATAATAATGCAATTTTAATACAGTATATACTATACTTAAATTGATAATTAATTAAATGCACTAATTGTTTATATATATATTAATTTAATTTGAATAATTATAATCAAAAAAAAATAATAATTATTATTAAATTTTTTTAGCTATTAGTAGCTATAGATATGATATTTATTTAATAACATTTTAATAATATTTAATTACATGTATTATTTTACATTAATATTGTTTATATATTGCGAAAAAATTTAWTGCATCTAATAATTTATAATAATTATGATTCATTATAATGATATTTAATTAATAATATTATTTTTTTATTTATTATAATT